TGAACACCAAGGCCATCGCCGGCGAGGGTGAGAAGGAGGATAAGCTGCAACACAAATATGATGTCTCGCAAAAATAAATGAGATGGACCAACTGTGGTCTTGGGTGATGGTTCTTGGGTTAAGAGTGTGTATTATGTTTTCTCTCCCGTTGCAACGCACGGGCTCTTTTGCTAGTATATTAAAAAACCGAATGAAAACCGTATTGCTCGTTCCAACGGCCAGCAACGTCGATATCATGCCACCCCATCTTCTTGGTTTTTGGGCAATTATACAGTGATGAGTCGTGCTCATCTTCTTGGTTCTTGAACATCATACCACCCCAAGCATATTTTTTGTGCACTACAAGCTGCTGGTGGCCTGGCAACGATGCTTTTCAATATGCAGTGACCCCAGCGCTAGCGGTGCTTTGCTTTGCATTCCAAACAAAGGTGGCACCGACAGTATCTCTTGTACAAACTCCCTCGTTCCTTTTTTTACTTTGCTTATATAAGTTTTATTTGAAGTTAACCTACGCAAAGTTTGACCAAATTTATATTAAAAAATATCAGTATCTACAATACAGAAGTTATATAGTACAAAACTAATCTCATGATGCATTCTAACTGTACTATTTTTGCTACATATAATTTATATTTTGCTAATCAATTTTATGGTCAAATTTTAGTTCAAAATAGCAGGGGGCTAGTAAACCAGGACGATCGCATGCATCGAAGGCGAAACCGTTTCGCCACGCCCACTAGATGATGAAGATGGGTAGCATGGTGGAGCCGATCGACGCTCCGGGATATAGGACCGGTCCTTGGCCGGCGTACGATCTCAATCCCCAAACCCATCCCTGAAGTATAGCTAGTATAGAACCGGCCGGGGTCCTATACTCGTCTTTGGTGCCGGCCAGCCACACCCACGTACGTGATCCGAAAGACAAAGAAGAAGAATATATAAAAGCTAAAGGCAACGCATGCGATGCGAGCAGTCCCCTGAACTTGCCGCGCGCCGACAAATCATTCATGCATAGTGGGGAGCACTAGCTATTTTGAATCGAAAGACAACCACGTAGTCGAGGGACACATATTATATCATTGAAAGAATAGCGCCCTCGAAGAGTCTAAAATAAATCCATAAAATATGCGTGCACCCATGCCAAACTACAAAGAACCTAGTCATTTAAGCTATGCTTACTTAGTTTGCATATTATCTACTTATATTATTCACCCTGGAAAATCATGAAAGCTCTTTACAGTATACAGTGACCCCAGCTAGCGCTACTTTACTTTGGAGGGTGGCATCGACAATATTTTTTGTCCCAACTTAGAAGGAAACTCAAGTGGCATCGGTTAGTCGTCATGCATTAATTCAGCCTCCTTCACTACAAGCGACCTGACTCACTTCTTCACAGTTGAGAAGTGTCACAGTACATATCCATAGATCATGGAGGGAGCGCGGCAGAGGCCCGAAGAACTGATCAATAGCTATGCGAAAGCTGGGGTGGGCGTCCGGAAGATCGCAAACGCAATCGGGTTCTTGGCGTTGCTGTGGTCCACCGTTGTGCTCCTCGGCGGCTTCGTTAGCGTCCTAACCATCAAGGATTTCTGGTCTCTCTCGGTGCTGAGCCTTCTAATGGCATCCAAGTACGTACGTACATTTCTCATCTCTAGTTCTTCTCTGGTTTTTGTGAACGCAATCTTCCTTTTTCAAGTAATGTTAATTACGGAGTGAGAAGTAGTAGACGACGATGGAAACTTATCTCGGTTTCTAGCAATTTGTGATTTAACTTTAGGGTCTGTCTAGGACACATCTGCATCAATCGATGCATATGCATCCTTCGCTTCCTTTCCTTCATCAGGAAATTATTATTACAGACAAATCGTGACCTTTGCAAACCTTCCTATCAAAGGAGGTAGGACAGGAAGGGATCCATGGCACGGCAGGGTCAGGGGAGGTAGGAGAAGAGGCGATCCATTGCAAGATCGGGGAGGTAGGAGATGGTGGGCTCAAGGAAACATGCATGTGGTTGTGCTCGCTAGCTTCGGCTGCACATAATTAAGATGAAACGGACAGCGGTGTTCGGAGCCCACAGTGCACGTGCCAACCAGTGGAGGAGGTGGCCGACGCGTGAGATGTTTTCAGTCGGTCGATTCCCAGTGCTTCCCCGGAATAATCACACCCAAAAAATGCCGCCTCCCTGTTTTAACACTCCTAAGAGCATCTCCAGCCGTTCAGCCCCCCAGGACGCCGAAAAAGAACGGCCTGGGAGCGAACCGGCGCTGGATAGGCCCCTGGGGGCGGCCTAGCTCCCAGCCACGCCCCCAGGCGCCGTCCCCCAGCCACGGCAAATTTAAACGTAGTCATTCCCGCACACAAAATAGACGCCACAATCCGGCGATCAAGCGGCCAGTAGATGGGCGATCGGATGAAAAGTTCGACGTACAAAAAGCAGAAAGGACGGAAGCGCGCATCAGGCGGCGAGGTCGGCCTCCGGCGTCGGCGGAGTCGGCGTGCGCGGGCTTGACGGGGTCTTTGTGCTTGGCGGCGTCGGCGTGGCTTCTGTGCTGCGGGGAGTCTCGGCGGCATCATCGCTCGGGCTTGGCGGCGGCGGTGGCGTGGGCGTCGTCGTCAAGGGAAACTGGTTCAGGATGAGGCCACGCTCCGCCAAGTACCACGCCTTGACCGCCTCGTCGTTGCTCTGGAGCATGTCCGCCCCGCCCAGCAGGAAAGCCAGGTCGGTGTTTCTCTTCTTCGCGGCGACGTTGGTCCGAAGTAGGTCGAGCTTGACGGCGCTGCTCGACATCAACGCTGACCACCGTGCCTCGGTCTTCTCTTCACGAAGGGCGGCCCAGACCTGTGCGTCGGCGAGGCAGTGCTGGATGGACTCCTGCACGCGAGCGGTGGCCGCGTCGGCGTGTTTCCCCTTCTTGGCACCTTTGTTGCCGGCCGGCCGCCCTTCCAACGCGCCAGGAGTCGGCGCGTCCGGCTTGTAGGTCTCCTTGGCCTTGTCGAGGGTGCGCCGGACTTCGGTCCACTTCTCGCACTTGTCAATGCGCTTGTAAACATTGAGGTACTTGAATTCGGCGTCGTTGTTGCTCTGCCGATACAGGGCGAACATGCGTAGCAACTGCGCGGACGAACAAACAGTTGGCGGGCGCACACGGCGAAGAGAGGCGGGAGACTGGCGTGGCATACCTGATCCTCAACACTGGCGCCGCTCTCCGGGCGAGCGGTGACCTCCTCGACGACCCCATGGCATTTGTTGCACGCCCCTGGATACGCCCCCAATGGTTCGCCATCGCCTTCGACCCGCGCTGCATGTAGACGCCTTTGAAGTAGGGGTCGACGAGTTAGCGCTCGTCGAACTCGGCCTTGATGCGCTCCCAGTACGTCTCGATGCTCTGGTTCGTGCCGGTGGTCGGGTCGAGGCAGACGACTTTCCATGCTTCGGCGAGGCATTCCTCCTCCTTGGACGCCCACTTGATGCGCGGCTCGCCTGACCTGGCCGCCTGCTTCTTCTTCTTGCGCCTCCTCGCTAGAACAGTCGTCGGCTCCTCCTCCTCCTTGTCCTCCTCCTCTTGCTCCTCCTGCTCCTCGTCACCGTAGACGTGGCCGAGCTCGCCATCCATGCCGCCGCTGAGATCCACCGTCTCATCGGCGGTGAACCCGGGAGACGCGGCGGCCGCGGCCGAACCTTCCGCTGTGATGTTGTCCATGTCGGCCTCGGTCTCGTCGGCGTCACCGAGGTGCGAGAAGGGCAGCGCGCAACGGAGGAGAGGGGGCGTCGGGGAGGACGCGTACGCGGGCGGCGAGTAGTTGTATGGAGGGTATTGCACGCCTGTGAAGGCGGGCGAGGGCGTGCGCTGGGTCGGGTGTCCATGGGGAAAAGTGACGTTTGGGTTGAACCCACCGTGCGCGTCCTCGTCGGCGTAGCCCAGCAAAGACGATCCCCATGGCTGCGGCGACGGAGAGCCAACGCCTTGCTGGCCCCAGGGCGCGTACTGCGTGTGGTTGCCGGGTGGATTCATCATCCCCGTGCGAGTCACCTCGGCCTCGGCCTGGTCCACCGAAGCGGCAGCGGCAGCCGCAGCTGCAGCCGCGCATGCCACATTGTCACGGGCCTTCTTGGCGATGGCCCTGTTCCGCCGGTCGGCGGTGACAGCCTCCTGTCGCTGCACTTCCACCCTCCAATCGGCGTTTGTCATGCCCGGTGGATTGGACGGCGGCGCCCTCGGCTTCCTCTGCTTCGGCTGGGCGACGGAGGCGGTCGCGGTTGCCACGGCCCGGGGGACGACGTACTTCTTCGGTGGCATGGCGGCCGGCTGGGAGGCGAGCGGGAGGGAGATTGGCGGGAGGAAAGGAGAAAATGGGAGGGAAGTGGGGAAAAGCGGGAAGAAACGGCAGGAAGAGGCGCTCGACTCGCCGATAGGACGGACCCACGCACCCTTTTCGCTTGTGCTGGTGCCCCAGAGGCCCCCAGGGCGCCGGGTTCTGTCTGGGTCCGCCGGCACCAGTTTCGGCCCGAGCCGGCGAAAAACGAGCTTCTGGGGAGGGGGGGCGATTGGGCCGTTTCTTCGGCGTCGGCGCGGCAAAAAGGCCTGGGAAGGGCCTGTTGGGGGCGCGGCTGGAGATGCTCAGCTTGTTTCTACTATCATGATGGTAAATTTTAGCATGCTCCCTCTTGCCTCCCCTTTTTCACATTAGAGGTAAGAGTTAATAATAGATCTAAGCGATTGATTTGATTAAGTAGTGGTTAGATTAACTTTTACCTTCTTACCTTTCATGTAAAAAGAAGGGGTAAGAGGAAGCATGTTAAAAGTACTTTTTTTTTCTAAGGGAATGGCAAGCCATCCTCGTCATTAACATTGTCTCTTTCCAGACAGAGAATTTGAGGTCCTCAGGAATTTCCCAGATTGGGGTATACATACAAATTATAGATTAAATGTTTATATATTCTAATTTTAGTCGTCACAGTAGTAGTAAGACACTGTAACAGGCAAGGATGCGTGATAAACTGATAACACATATAATAATATCAAGTATTGGCATAAGTTGGTATAGACTATAGACGAGGGGCGCGCCGCCGGGCAAAGCGCGGTTGGCGGCGGCGGCGGCGGGATCTCTCCTCCCCGCAGCGGCCGGACCTGGCGGGGGTGGTGTTCGGCGGCAGTTGGCAGCGCCTTGGTGACGGGGCGCGCCGGCGAGGGCTCAGGGGGCGACGGTAGGAGCTGCTTCCCCCGGTGGTCGCGTGGGGGGCCGTTCGGGGCGCGCCTATGGTGGCCGTGGTTGATCTGCTTCAGATCTGACCGCCAGCGCCTCAGGCGGCGCGGGGATCTCGGGGCAGCGGCCTCGATCGGTGGCGCGGGGTGCGGCCTGCTTGGCGGGCGGCACCCGCGAGTGCAGATGGGGGGCCCTCCACGGCTGCATGGGCGGCGTGGACGCGGCGGTGCTACGGCGGCTCCTCTATGGCCGCCCGGAGTTCCATGGGAGGCGTCATCTCTGACTCAATCTACTCCGATTTGTGCTGGCTATGGTAGCGACTACGGTCGACGCCAATACTGCCTGGACAGACCTGGCGGGTGGGCATGGATCCGGGAGAAACTCCAGGCCGGCGTGGCGGCGGCACTAAAGTCAACGCCCTCGGCGCCGATTACCTTCCTAGAGGCTTCGGTGTGGATCATACGCCCCCACCTCTGCCATGAGCGCAGGCGAAAGCCTCTATTCCTCTGTTGGGGCGACGATGGCACTTTGTTGTCGTGTTCCTTCCTGAAGGCGTCGGCCGAGGACTGCTCAGGGTGGTGGAGTTGCTGGTAGTTCAGAGTCGACGCGAGATGGCATGTACGTGGAGCGGTGTGGCATCAACAGTATCATCGACGGTGGGTCTCGGCGGCATGGCGCAGTCTAGTCTCGGCGTCCGATGCGTGGAGATGGACTCGTGCAGGAGGAGGAAGCTGTCTGGCGTCGTGGTGGCGTCGACGATAGCTAGATCGTGCAAGGTAGATGCAATAGTACAACTCTGAAGATGGATTGGTGGCAAGTGGCTGCGGCGGCCCCATACCCGGCAGGCGTCCTGGTTGAGGAGTGCGCCGGACTGGTAGGTGCCCCATACCCGGCAGGCGTCCTGGTTGGGACCTCAGATCTTAGATGTTTAGGTTTGGCTGAGATGTCTGTTTGGTATTAGGCTCAGACTATCAGCGCCCCTTAATCGATTGGATAGGTGTAGCGACAGTTGTTGATTAGACGGTGGCTTTAGTCCTGATGTTGTATGACTTTGTAAGGTCTTGTGAGAATAATTAATAAAGTGGCCGCATGCATCGCCCAGATACAGCTGGGGGTCATCCTCCTTTTCTAAAAAAAAATACGTCTTCATATAGGCTAGCCTTTGTGTATATACATATACTCCCTCCGTTCCAAAATAGATGACCCAACTTTATACTATGTACTAAGTTAATACAAAGTTGGGTCATCTATTTTGGAACGGAGGGAGTACATATGTAATCTTGTGCCTCGCCCTAACTTAACATAAAACAGGATGCTGGAATTTATTGATACCAACAACGGTGGAATTTTCATGGCAGAGAAGCACATATTACGTTTGAGCAAGGGACTAGATCAACTTGAAGAAGCAAACCGAGCTACACATCGGATAATTTTATTCACTCTATCCACAATGAAAGTCGTGAAGCAAATTTCCATAATCATTTTATTGTGCATCTTTGGGTTTCCGTGGCAACTGAGCATAGGACTCTCAGTCGCACGTCTTGTCCAACGGGATTACGGCAACGCGGGTGAAGATGCTGCAAACAAAGCAAAACTGAATGCGGCACTGATCGTCTTCTATGTTCTCGTTATCTTTCATGGTTTATCTGTGGGTTACTGGACATTTCTTCAAGTTTTTGAGCCATGGATGTTGATGAGCAAACAATTTGGATTTGGAGTTTGGGGTCCCAAAATTGTTAAGAGATACAAGACAGAAACTAGAGTCAAGTGTCATAAGGATGGGATTTTGCCCAACAACTGGAACTTGATCACATTCAGTGTTGAGTTGCTGGAGTCTGCATCTTCGGATGACCGTCTATGGGGAGCAAGGGTGCTCGATACTTTCATTGGGAAAGGTATATCTATAAGACAAGAGCTACTATCTTCCAGCCAAGCCATTCAGAATCTGGCCAACATGATTATTGGTTCCACAAGAACAGATGACCCTGAGATCAGAGAGCGTGGCGCAAGGATTGTAGCGGATCTGGCCAGAGAGCTCCGTATAAACCAATTTCCAGATGTACTACGATGCATATGCTGCCTACTTGAAAGCTGCAAACCATATAATAACCCACAAGTCACCAATCCATTGGCTAAGCAAACGCTTGATGAAACATCCGACAATGTGTCAGCAGAAACCTTGGAGCGTAGTCACCATCAAGAAGATGCCCACTTGTCATTGGAGATCACCAATCAAGCTGAGCATAATAAAGTTGTCAATCTAGCATCAGACAAGGTGCCCAAGAGAAGATCATGTATCCAGATAATGCGCATTCGAATGAAGACAACAAGCTTTAAGGAAGCGCGCGAATGGGATAGATATTTTGGAGATGAGTACCACTACTCCTATGTATCTAAAGGCACCAAAGAGCTGATCTCTCAGGGCCTGGTGATTCTTGAGAGGCTCACACAAGACGAAGAAAACTGTATAGAGATAGTCAGACACCAAAGGCTGGTCTCTAGGATCACATTACCATTGAGCTACCATGACTTCCTCTGCAACGGATGCGACCACACATGGGCTGACAAATCACTCACAATGGTCAGCAGGCTTATCAGTGCTAAACCTGCTGACGACACCACAAGGCTGCGCTGTGATATGTCGGCCAGCGCAGTGACTATCCGCAACTTGATGCGTATTTTGGAGGTTGAAGTTGGTGCCTCAGAACTGCACGAACAGGCAATAGACATTCTTACGGAGCTAGCCTTTGATGATTCTTTCAGAAAACTAGCTTTCGATGAATCCACAAGCATGACAGAAATGCTCAGCAACATGCTACGACGCATCTTCCTTGAAGAAAGCAATGCTACAGTGGCAAAAGAGGACGAAGAGAAAGACATGAGAGTGAGGAGAAAAGCAGGGGAAGCACTGGCCAGATTGCTTATTCGGGTCACAAGTGCAAGAGATAACACTGATGCAGTTACTAGTGTAACAAATGTTAATGCTGGTGATCTACTTCCCAAGCAAGACGTGATCAATCTGTTGAGCAAGGTAACTCTCTACCTCTGCACCTACTTAAATTTCCCGTTACCTCAAATGTTTATATTCTCTTTCAAAATCCCAGATGTTTCTTTGCAGTTCAAACTCAAACATACATAAACAGAATAACATGGGTGGATTGCTTTTGGCTCCTGGGATTTAGGGATTACAGTGCAAAAACACTAGGTAGTTTTAGCGAGATGATGTTCTGGGTTGCAAGTACTTGTCATTTTAGTTTCAGTACGTATTATCCATCTAATACCCTTCTTATTTGTAGGAGTTATTGATCTAATATCCTTCTTACCAATATGTTATTTCTTGTTGATGAGTAGCTAAACGATAAACTATTCCTGTTGATAACTAATCCTGCAACATGTTATTTTTTGTTGATGAGTAATTCCACAATACATTATTATGCAGTACTCTGTTCTTGTTTCTGTTTTGTGAAGAATGCACGCTACTCTCACTACATCCATATGTATCAGAGGCATATATGATAGGATGATTAAGCCTCACAAAGAAATGGTACGATTATAACCTTGCTAATAACCCCTTTGTGCTGAAAATATTGTTCCAGGTTGTTGATAAAATATTATCTACTAAAGTAGAAAAGGATGCAGATGTGGTGACACTGGCTGGTTCAAGCAATAGCTGTCATGTAGAAATGGTTGTAGAAAGTCAGCCTCCAAATGGTGCTGACACAAGCGAGTCCTCCACGCAGCCTGAGGAAGGAAAAATGTTGGCGGCCCTGCTAAACCTTGCCGTGGCGATATGCACCGAACATGTGATCAGTGGAGATGAGTTTACTCGTGCCGTCCCTGACAAAGCAGCACTCGTAATGAAGCTCAAGGAGATAGTACGAATGGACAAGGGTGCCACAAGTGACGGCTGGAGAATTCAGAAGTTTGTCTGTCAGCTGGTTATAGCAATGGTTCAGCTCAAGCCAAGCTGCATCAGAGAGTTCAACGAACGTAACTTCAAGGAGACACTATCCAAGGCTCTCGAGACCATGTCGGATGTCGACAACTGCATGATGTTTGCTGGCGATGATCGCGAGGTGCTTTTCAGGTCTCTCGCTTCTCTGGTGAAAGAGGCGCATAAGCTCTTGGCACAAGAGCTGGGTGGCATCCCTGTCTGATCAAGGGAGAACACCAGTAGGGTATAATATTTTATCTCTGTTTGTTGCAGAAAGTGTGATTGCGAAGCTTGTCTCGAACAAGTTCTATGAAACATTCTTATTGAGCATTGTTGCTGATGGTACAATCTTGCTCCAACTGAATTCTTCATCAATATCAAAACTTCATTGAGGACCTTTAATTTGTCGTCTTTTGTTTGTTCGAAGTTCAAAAACCATGTTTGTCAGTTTAGAGTACATTTTACATGTACTATTTCCTAGCAACTAAGATGATTGCAAATAAAATATAGCATTTTCTATTTGCGATTACAAAGGGATGCACAAAATCTACCTGAACCCGCGTTGGTAAAAAAATATTCAGGGAGAAAGGAAGCTGGGAAAAAAGAAACAATAATTGAAATAAGCTCCAAAAGGTTCAGTTTTCCCAATATCAATAATACTTGTACTTCTATCACTAGCTTGAACTTGCTACGATGAGAATTGAAATGTTATATTTAACTTGAATTGATGTGCCACACACTCAATGCGAAAAGAAAATTGTAATCACAAAAAAGAAAAATTAAACATAGAAGGAAAGTGTGACTTCCGCTCAAGAAAATCTCATCCAATTCTGTACACCATGAGTTAGTGAGCCTAGTTCTAACTTTTTATCTCTTTCGGCATCAACTTCAAGACTTCTTACGCAGATCACCAAATTGGCTCTACAATAGGCGAAGGCCTCATATATAGATTGAAGGAAAATGCCCTTTACAGGGGGAAAAAAGGCAAAGAACTCACAAAAACACAGCATATTTCAGTTTTTAGCACACCACAAGCAGCACTCTGCATAAGAAGAAACAAGGTTTATTGCATCCATGTGACATCAATAGTCATGTAGTATAAAGTATAAACTCTCCAACACATTTTTGCCGCGGTAAGCAACCATTGATTCGCTTGCAGACAGTAGATGCTGAAGAAATACACCACCACAAAGTATCACATCACACCTCCACTCTCGCAGATCTGCAAACTTGAGCCTGATGCTCTGCAGAGAGGATACTAGACACAAATCACCAATGAATTGCCTTCCCTTCACGCCGAAAGGACAGGCCAATCGAGAGCTATCCGACGAGTTAAAAAGATTAGCAGCCGCACCAGTCACCTATCACAACTGCTTCAGCAGGAATTTCTAGAGCACACACGTAGGCCTTCACCACCGCTTGTCGCCGAGCATCGAGATGAAAGAACCTGCAGCAGTGGAAGAGGCAGGCCTCCTTTTCTTGCACGATTTGCTTGGCTGAGCAGCGGAATGAACCTCGTCTTCAGGAAAGTTCTGACCGCAGACTTCTGCTGGAGAGAAGAAACGAGATGCTTGTCAGATTAACAGCGAACAACGAATAACAGTTTCTGAACATGTACCAAACATTTAAAGAGCTACTCTAAACAATTACGCAGCAAACATGGAAGTCCACAAGATAGTCAATTCAGTTACAGCCGTTTGATATGACAAACAATTCCATATAATCATTTACTGTTTCCACACATCTCAACAGTCTGGCATGCAAAATTACCTCATTCCTTCGCTCGCAATATTATTATTTATCGACTTACAAGTCTTACGACATGATAATTATTTATCCTTTTTCTTGATCAACACTTCTCGATTCATATCAGACTAAGAGCCAGCACCGCATAACAGTTCTGAACTTCTGCCAAAACTGAACACAGCATGTACCAAGGAAAATCAACACTTCTGAACTCGTATATCAGACTAACAGCCAACATTGCATAACAGTTCTGAACTTCTGCCAGAACCGAACACAGCATGTACCAAGGAAAATCAACGCTTCTGAATTCATATCAGACTAACAGCCAGCCAACACCGCATAACAATGCTAAACTTCTGTCAAACTGAACCTAACATACACTGAAGGAAACAATCAGCAAACAAGATGAAAAGTGTAACAACCTGAGGTTTTGTCAGCAAGATTTCCTCCGACGCAACAGCCCACTCCTCTTCCATGCTTGGGAGCCATCCCTTGAACCGTATCGGTGCCCGATTCACCATCGGAAGCACCAACCCCATCGCCACGACGATTCATAGCGGAATCGCGTGGCTTGAAACGCCTCGCCCACGGATCCTCGGGCAGGCCTCTTGCGCCCACATCACGCGGGCGAGAGACGTTCCTCTCGGCCCTGGCGTTATCGGAAGCTCCCTCTTGGTGGGACTTGAGCCCATGGCCAAGAAGACCCACATGGGCGATGTTCCTGTCGGGAGCGGCGTGGTGGTGCTGCTGCTGCTGGCCACGGAGCTGCTGCATGAAGGACGCCTCCATGGAGCTGATGTACATGTTGTGGGTGTCGTTCGTCCATCCGGCCGACACCAGCTCCCCAGCCTGATCACCCTGCTGAAGAAGAAGAAGGTAGAGTTAGTTTCCGTTTCAGATTTTACAGGTGCAAAATCAACACATCGGACAGCTGTCCTGTCCCACAGTAATACTGGACAGACATCCACATGTCCAGGATGATTATTGTACTACATGACGTGCGTGCTCTGCTTTGCACTACTTTTCTGAGTCGAATTAACTTCTATCTACGGCGATTTGCAAAAGAAGAATACCGCAGAAGACCATGCTGATCAACAATTTCATTCATTTATCAGAGACTAGGAGCTGAACATCTTCAGGCGGATCAAAATAACAGTCGGTCGTGGATGGATGGATTGACTGGAACAGATGGTTACCTTAGCGGCAGTGCCGGACGGGCGTTGAATCGTGGACACGTCCCCCATGGATCCGGGCGGCTGGGCCCTCCTCCGCCCAAGAAGTCTCGCCGGACGGCGCCGGAGGTCAAATCAGAGAGAAAGCGAGGATATTTTCCGTGGATTTTGTCAGCGAAAATCGCCGGTCGATGGAGAAGAGGGGGAAAGATCCGCGGGATTTGGTAGTCCGTCGTCCTCCTCGTGGAGATGGAGGGATAGGGATGAGGAGGAGGCCCAGATGTATACTCTCATCGGAAGGGAAGAAAAATATCTCCCTGCGACAAGCCAGCGGAGAGAGGGGAGAAGGCGAAGGAAAAGCGCAGGCGGTGTGTGTGCAGGTGGAGAGAGAGGCGTACTTTAACTTTCGCTTTGGGGAGAGAGGAGGCGTACTTTTGGGTCGACGTGGCCGCGCGGGGGGAGCGCAAAAATATCGGGCGCAGATATTTTTCCGCTCCGCGCGATAGATTTTTCTTTTTTTTTCCTCGAGGGATTTCCACGCGATGGATTTGCCGACTGGAGGCCTGCCTGACGGGTGGGGCCCCGGGCCGGTTTTGAGGACTGGCTGGGAAAAAGATCTCCGGCTCGGTGACGACGACGCCCGTGATGATGGGTTGGGTGGCACCGTCCAACCTCTTTGTGATGCGCTTTGTGCCTACTCGTGAGGAAGAATAACAGAGAATTGAATTTGATCATACGTAAAGCACGGTTTGCTAGGTGTTCATGTACGCTCATCACTACCAAGCCGTATATAGTTGACGGGAAAGTCTTCTCGCACTGAACGAACCTCTGTACGTGATCACTGGTGCCTACTGACGTTTAGTTGGGACTCATGCTCTGTAACAACCCTCTGTAAAGGTAGGGTGGTGTGCATGAACGTGTTCATTGATATTAGCGTATATGCATATGTATGAGCGTCTGCATCTATATTACGCTAAAAACAAAATATCACTCCCTTCTTTCACAAACATAAGATATTTTAATATGGAGTACGCTACGGAATGAAATGAGTCCACACACAAGTAAAATGCGTCTATATACATCCGATTAAGAAAAGAATTAACACATCTTGTAATATATGGTTAACAACGTGAGTGGCCTACATATAAAACAGTAGAAGGTGCCTTAGTTTTATCATTCTCACCTTGGTTTTGTCCATCAATACCATTCATGGAGCGACACGTAGAGCCAGGTGGGGCTCATGGCCGATCTTTTGGCCTTTTGTGGGATAGACTTGTATGAGATTTCACATTAGGTAAGATCATGAGATCAACGCTATAAATTCATATTTAGACATTTTGAACAAAAAATATCTGAATTATTTGACAACATCCACGTCAGGTATGTCTACAACTCCAAGAAAACCAGCTCAAAAATCAATGTAAATATCTGAATTATTTGACAATATCCACGTCAAGTATGTCGACAACTCCAAGAATCTAGCACAAAAATCGATGTATATTTGAAGATTCGAAACAGACAAATTTGAATGCGAATAGTGGCAGTTTTGGGTGAATATTGCTTTGCACAGACAAAGTTGAATGCGAATAGTGGCAGTTTTGGGTGAATATTGCTTTGCACAGACAAATTTGAATGCGAATAGTGGCAGTTTTGGGTGAATATTGTCTTGCACTATTCACGTTCAATTTTGTCTTTTTGTTTCTATTATTGCAGGTCAAATTAGGGGCAGAAACTTCTTGAGGTTGTGCATGAACCATTGATGTGTCTTTAAAAAACAAATTAAGACTGTTTGAACATATATATTAAAGAAAAGTCGATCTCATTGATCTAACCTAATGTGAGATCTCAGGCAAGTATTCCTCACCTTTTGGGAGGAAATACATACATGTGGCTTTGGTGACAATATACATTTAAGATGCACTTTGTGCTTCCCCGTCAAAAAAAGAAAAAGAAAAAGATGCACTTTTGTTTCATGAAAAGGAAAGCAAGTTGTACACTTGTTTGCATGCAAGCCCATTGGGGTCTAGCTAGCGACATTTAGTTGAAACTTTGCGGGGCAAACTATTATTGTATATACAGGAACGTGGGCATTTCGGCATTTTATAAAAATATCTAACAGACCACCTGTCCAAACTAGTTAGTGGCATAAAAAATATTAGTGGCACGGGCATCAGATTCTGTCAGTGGCAAAAGTAATTACGTGCTTGTAATAAAGATCAAGCAATATTGAGATAAGTTCACCTGCAAAAAAAATATATTGAGATAAGTCAAACATGTACGGGTCGTCCACTGATGGCAAAATTTTGTGTTTTAACCCTTTTTTGAAAGTTAGTCGAGATCTGACCTTGGTTTGTAAAAATTTCGGGATTTGACCTTTTGCTACCGCCAGGATTAATGACGGTAGGGTAACACGCCCTACCGCCACAGTCTCCGGTGGTAAGACTTAACAGCACCGTCACGTCCGTTTAAAATAAAAAATACCCTACCGCCATGGCTCCTGGCGGTAGGCTGTGCAACATGCACCGGTCGTGCAGGCTTTGCTTTTTGTAGTTTAATTGGTGTTTAGCTGGTGATATTACTAGTACTATTATAGTACTATATGCTCTGAGCCAACTATCCATCAGGGAGCATGCATGCATACATGCACCTCGCCCTAAGCTAGCTACTGTTACTCAGTTCTGCATGGTACTACTTTATGCTTGCTTGGGGTGAAAAGAGAAGAGAGAGACGGGCTAGCCTTGGCCTCACACGCAACATGCATGCATGCATGCATGCATTGGGGCTATCACTAGGAGCAGTACCATTAGCTACTACTAGCTTTCTATTTCACGGACTTATGGCATGCCTACCGCCATGCTCTCTGGCGGTAGGGTGCACGGCCTACCGCCAAGGGCCCTGGCGTTAGGGTATTTTTCACGTTAAATAGGTATAACGATGTAGTTAAGTCCTACCGTCATGAACTTCGGCGGTAGCCTGTGCAACCCTACCGTCAAACACAATGACGGTAGGAATAAGGGTCAGATCCCGAAATACTTTCGAACAGGGGTCAGATCCGGTTAAACTTTGCGGTCAAACCACGAAAATCGGCCTCCACTGGTTTTGAGATGGGCAATGGAGACGGACGCACGCTCACGACGCATTGCCTTGCCGGTCCCCCTGTCGACGTCGAAAAAATGGTCGCCTGCTCGTTCGGTGGCGCTCGCCAGGGACGGCCACGTACGTACGTAGGCAGGGGCATAGGGGTCGTAGAGCCATGATCGCACCTGGACCACGGCCACGACGCACCAACCAAGTTAGCTAAGCTTCCGCGTAAGCATGGGATGGCCATACATATCCATCCCATGTAGGTGGCTCCACCGAAATGTCTCCTACGTCCATCCTTGCTACCGTTTCCCACTGATCAGGCCTCTTGATTCGCAGGACAGGATTACCAAGATATTTCTTTGAGAGAGAAGCTGCATATGCCCGACTAGAGGTAGAGGGTGGAGAGAAGAGAATTTCACAGGGCCTCTATATTACAAGAGACTAACGCGCGCTTCGCCGCGCCGCGCCGTTCTTCACTCGTGAAATTAACCTTTTTATATTTATAGATTATTGTGATCAGTTGTTTTATCTGTGTTGGCTTTGTGTTTTAGTTTTTTATTGGTTGTGTTGTTTTGTTCGTATATCGTGTTGGGTTGGTGTTGGAGTAATTTTTTCAAAAGAAGAGAGAAGTTATTTGATGCGTATTTGTGAAATCTTTCCACATTTTGTCCTTGGTGTCATCCCGTTGGTGATTGTTTGAGCATCTTGGGAGATCTTATTTCATGTTAAACCCATGGAATTGCTACAGTCACGCTCACATGGGCCAATACACGAAGTTCTTGCTCGCGCAGCTTGGCTTCCTGCACCTTTCGCTCGTTTAATTTTTTTTCCCTCACCCCACTGCTAGCTCAGAAAAAAATCATCTATCTTTTTTCATTTGAAAAGGTTAATTAAATTAAATGATGTTTAAAGAACTTTAAAAATATTATACTTTTAAAAACCATGAGTTTTAGAGACATTCATGAATTTAAAATATATTCATGACTTAAAAAATATTCGCAAAATAAAAAGTTTTCAAATTTAAAAAATGTTCACAGACTTTAAATGACTATGACTTTAAAAATATCCACACAAATTTAATCAATATTAATAAATTTGAATATTAAAAAAATATTTTTATTTTTTAAAGTAGATAAATTTTAATAAGTGCTCATGAATTAAAACATGAAGAAAAACTAAAAAAAAACTAAATAACACACACTTACGCGTGGGGCCTTAGTGACCCCCACAACCCTCGAAGCACCAGAGCGCTTCAATTTGAGGGAGCTTAGTGTCCCTATAGATTTGGATCTAGAAAAACTAGAGAGATCTAGAGAGGGCGTCCGGAATTAAGGGACTTGCATGTCCCTAGAGGGCGCCCCCTCTAATATGTATACGTGGAGGGGAGGGGAGGCAGCCGACTTAGGGATCCCTCTTTAATCGGCACGCCGCCCATGAGGTGGAGTCCTCCTCTAAGTCCATTTCGCGCCCCTAGCTTGTCCAACAAGCTATTGGGGATGCCTCCGTCTTATTGGGACTTCTAGGTACATTATCTTTCACCTAATAGGACTTCAGCATATTAGGAAGAAGGCGAAGAAAATAAAAGTGTAGGCAGGTGGCCGGAGGCGTACTTAATTTTTCTCTTTCAGGCAGGAGGCATACTTTTACATCGACGCAGGGCCGGTCCTGAGATATCGGGGGCCCGGGGCGAAACTAGAACCCGGGGCCCCTCAATACAACATCGAAATAATAATAAGCATGCCTAAATTCCATTTAAAAGCTATGTATAGGATCATTAATTTGTCGAGAAACTTAAGTTACTTACTCCAAGAAATAAGTTGCAACGATGTTTCATATTAGACGAAAGGTAAATTTGATTTTCACACACCTATTGTGAAATCAGACACAATCACACAAGTAAAACTCCATATATTAGGTGGGCAAAAATGCTAAAAAAGGCCCTGAGACAACCAGCCCACCACCACGTAACTCAAGTTATAATACTAATAAAGAAATAAAGGCCCAAGGCCCATTACGCTAGAGCATAAACATAACGTATCGTCTTTCTTCTTCGTTGAGACACAGAACAACAGTTGGAGCGCCTCCAATGGCTGAATTCAAGGTACCAATGGTCACACATATACCTGGAGAGGGGGCCCCTTGGCTTGGGGGGCCCGGGGCGACCGCCCCCCCTGCCCCCCCTCAGGGCCGGCCCTGCATCGACGTGGCCATGCAAGGGGGGAGGATAGGGGCATGTCGTGCGCATATATTTCCAATATTTTGCCGACTTGAGATAACGTGCAAGGGGCTGGCTGGCTGACATGTGGGCCCCGGGCCAATTTTGAGGACTTGCCCAAGGAAAAGATCTTGTGGTTTGGTGACGTCATGCATGATGATGGGTGGCACCGCCCAACTTCTTTGTGATGCACTTTGTGCCTCCTCATTTATTCATGAAAATAAAGTATGCACTTTGTTCTACGGAAAAAAAAACGTGTGCACTCTTTTACCTGCTCATTGGAGTAATGACTTTTTTTTGAAACTCTACTCAGTGAAAAAAAATCAAGCAAACCATAAAAGCACTGTCTTTTCATTAAAAAGAAGAGAGTTGATCGATTAATAAAAAAACTAGACTAAAATCGATGCTCGGTAAATAATCATTTTTCAGTTTTCTATTGTCCTAGTCCTGTTTTCATTTCATTGCATCACCTTTTTTTAATTCCGAGGTGCTTTCAAAAGGAACTGACCAATGCATGTAGTCGTTCCTGCTAGCGCCGCCGCCACCGACAAGTGGTGTTTAGAGCGGTTTGTTTGGCCTTGCGGGGCGGGCTCGCCAATGAAAGATATGTGGCTTGGTGACAACATCATAGGTGGCAAGCAAGTTCTTTTAAATGCACTTTTGCTATGAAAAACAAAAGGATACACTTTATTTCACGAAAAGCAAAAGATATGTATACACTTGTTTGCAAGCTTATTAATTGGGGGTCTAGCGACGTTTAGTTGCAACTTTGCTGGGCAAACTATTATATATTGTGGGTATTTTTCACTTTGAATATATCTAACACACCACTGACTGGTCCCAATATCAAAATGAGCAAGGTGTCCAAACTAGGTGAGTAGATGAGTAGGAGATTGATGGCTCGTGTCTACGTCAGTATTTCTCCGAAGAGGAAGGGATGATGCAGCACAGCTATGGTAGGTATTTTCCTTAATTATAAAACCAAGGTTATCGAACCAGTAGGAGAACCAAGCAATACTATGTAAATGGTACCTGCACACAAAGAACAAATACTTGCAGCCCGACGCGTAAGAGGGGTTGTCAATCCCTCTCGGGTAGAAGATTGGTAAAAAGATAGATTGATAGATGCAAACAGAATAATGATAAATAAAATTTAGTTAGGTATTTTTAGGTTTTTGGTAATATAGATCTTAAAATAAAATATGTAAATAATTAAAAAGGCAAATAGCAATATAGATCTGCAAATATATGATGAGAAAATAAACCCGGGCCCCGTAGATTTCACTAGTGGCTTCTCTCGAGAAAATAGCATACGGTGGGTAAACAAATTACTATTGGGCAATTGATAGAGCATTGAATAATTATGACGATATCCAGGCAATGATCATTATATAGGCATCACGTCCAAGATTAGTAGACGGGCTCCTGTCTGCATCTACTACTATTACTCCACACATCGACCGCTACCCAACATGCATCTGCTAGTGTATTAAGTTCATGGAAAAATATAGTAATGCATTAAGAATGATGACTTAATGTAGACGAGATTTATTCATGTAGGAATAGCCCCCATCTTGTTATCCTTAATAGCAACGATACATATGTGTCTTGCATCCCCTTCCGTCACTGGGAGAGAACACCGTACAATTGAACTCATCACAAAGCACCTCTTTCCATGGCAAAAAAAATCGATCTAGTTGGCCTAACTAAACCAAAGATTCGAAAAAGAAATACAAGGCTATAAGTAATCATACATATAAGAGATCAAAGAAACTCAAATAACTTTCATTGATATAAAGGTCCGATCATAAACTCAAAGTTCGTCAGATCTTAACAAACACACCGTTAAAAAGAGTTACATCAAATTGGTCTCCAAGAGACCATTGTATTAAGAATCAAAAAGAGAGAAGACACCATCTAGCTACTGCCTACGGACCCGAAGGTCTACAATGAACTACTCACGCATCATCAAGAGGCACCAATGAGGATGATGAACCCCTCCATGATGGTGTGTAGATTGGATCTGGTGGTTCTGGAACTTGCGGCGGCTGGAATTGAGTTTCGTCGACTCCCCTAGGGTTTTTGGATTTTGGGGGTATTTATAGAGCGAAGAGGCGGTGCGGGAGGCCACCGAGATGGGCACAACCCACTAGGGCGCACCTAGGGGCCCATGCGCGCCCAGGTGGGTTGTGCCCCGTCGGGCCACCCCTTCGGTATTTCTTTAGCCCAAATTGTGTCTTCTGGTCCAGCAAAATTCTCCAAAAAGTGTCGCTGCGTTTGGACTCAGTTCGGTACTGATATTCTGCGAAGTAAAAGTTAAGCAAAAAATAGTAACTGACACTAGGCACTATATCAATAGGTTAGTCTTAAAAAATGATATAAAATTGCTATAAAATGATTGTAAAACATCAAAGAATGATAATATAACAGCATGGAACAATTAAAAATTATAGATACGTTCGAGACGTATCAGAGATTTTTTTTAGTGGCAAAAGTAATACTCCCTACAATCCATATTGCTTGTCGCAGCTCTAGTATAATTTTTATTATACTTCTTGCGACTATAGTATAGCTTTATATTTCCTCCGTCCGGATTTAATTGGCGCTCAACGGATGTATCTAGTAATGAAATATGTCGAAATACATCTTTTTAGCATTAATTAATTTCGGACGGAGGGAGTAGTAGTTTGGACCTGTCGAATTTCGAGCCTTTGATTTCTACTTCAATATTCGTGCTCATAGAGTAGATGGATCTTAGGCGGTGAATATGTACTCCTAGATTAGAAAATCCTACAATATGACTTGGTCAAACGCCTAGGGCTACTTTAACCAAGACACACTACTCAAAAGCTTATTTTTAGACTTAAGCTATATTCAAGATGCCTGGAAAATGAATTTGGACCCGTGTATTTTTAGCCTCTGATTTCTGCTTCAACGTTCGTGCTCTTTGTTTTTTTTTCCTATTGTGTCTGCTTTCATATTTTGGGCTGAAATTTCTGTGTAAATTATTTGCAAATTTTGTCATTATTTTCTATTCCCTTTCTTGTTAAACAGTAACACCAATGCCACTAATTTATCATTTCTTAGAAAACTTTGTTATTATTGTTGTTGGTGTTGCTATTATTATTATTATTAGTTTATCATGCATGGGTTCTGGTTCGGTTGGATTCTTCATGTGCACGAAAGCGTTTAGGTTCTCATTGGCCGAATAGAGAGGTACGCGGCGTAATATGCATCAGACTCGTGGGGCTCCCAACTGAAAAATGTAGACCCAAGATTATTAGGATGAATAAACGAAACTAAAGAAATATGATATTACTATTTGACGTCTATAATTGCGAAGTTAAATGAAAAGAGTGTTGCTAGATCAGTCGACCAAGACCTGATCACGGAGGACGGCTTCACAAAGAGGACGACGTAATCCGCGTAAATAATGAGAAAAACTTCAAGTCAGAAGAGAGAGGGAGTAGTACCTTCGTCCGGGTTTATTGAGCCCCTTCATATTTTGGGTCAGATTTTGACCATCCATAGACTACTAAATATAAAGTGAATGCTATAAAAAGTTATACCGTTGGATTTGTATTTGAAAGAGTTTTCGGACGATATAAAGTGTATTTTTGTTAGTTAAATTTTTAGGTCAAATTTTAGTCTAAAATAAGAGGAGGCCTAATAAACCGGGGCGGAGGGAGCAGTATATAAGTGCTTGATACAGGTAGTTTAAGCACAGCACATACGCATTGCTGCGACACAACGAGCAAAAACAAGATGGGCATGCTACGGGTGAGAGGCTGCTTAGCACTCGCCGTCTCTGTGAGCTTCTTCTTCCCGTGCTCCGTTGCTTCTCCCGCTGATGCCTTCCTCCGGTGCCTGAGCGCCAAGATACCCGGCGAGCTCGTGTACACGCAGAGCTCCACAAACTTCACCGACGTGCTGTCCTCCTCCATCAGGAACACCAAGTTCCTCACCAACGCCACGGCGAGGCCGCTCTGCATCGTCACGCCGAGCGACGCCTCCCACGTCCAGGCCGCCGTGCTCTGCGGCCGCGGGCAGGGCGTGCGCCTCCGCGTGCGCAGCGGCGGGCACGACTACGAGGGCCTCTCGTACCGGTCCGTGCGGCCTTCCGAGGTGTTCGCGGTGGTCGACCTCGGCGCCAACCTCCGGGCCGTGCGCGTCAACCGGCTCGACTCCACGGCCTGGGTCGACTCCGGCGCCACCATCGGGGAGCTGTACTACGCCATCGCCAAGAATGACTCCCGGATCGCGTTCCCGGCCGGCGAGTGCCCCACCATCGGCGTGGGCGGCCACTTCAGCGGCGGCGCCATCGGCATGATGATGCGCAAGCACGGCCTCTCCGCGGACAAGTCCTCGACGCCACGCTGGTCGACGCCGACGGCCGCCTCCTGGACAGGGCTGGCATGGGGGAGGACCTCTTCTGGGCCATCCGGGGCGGCGGCGGCGGGAACTTCGGCATCGTGCTCTCGTGGAAGGTCCAGCTCGTGCAGGTCCCGCCGACTGTGGCGGTGTTCAACATCGCCAAGACGGTCGACCAAGGCGCCGTGGACATCCTCACCAGGTGGCAGCACGTCGCGCCGTCGCTCCCCGGCGACCTCACCATAAGGGTGATCGTGCAGGGGCAGCAGGCCATGTTCCAGGCGCTGTACCTCGGCGCGTGCGGGTCGCTGGTGGCGACGATGGGCGCCCAGTTCCCGGAGCTGGGCATGACGAGCGCCGAATGCCAGCCGATGACCTGGCTGCAGTCGGCGGCCACGCCCTTCATCAGCTTCGGTAGGAACGGCACGCTGGAGGAGGCGCTGCTGAGCCGGACCGCCGGCCAGAGCGGCCCCGGTAAGATCAAGTCCGACTACGTCCGGCGCGCCATCCCCAAGGCCGCGTGGGAGGAGATCTTCTCCTGGTTCACCAAGGACGGCGCCGGGTTCATCCTGCTGGAGCCCCACGGCGGGTTCATGGGCAGCGTCCCCGCGGCCGCGACGCCGTACCCGCACCGGCACGGCGTGCTGTACGTCATCCAGTACATCGCGTTCTGGCAGCAGGGAGGCGACGGCGCGGCGGCGACGGCCTGGATCGGCGGCCTGTACGACTTGATGGGGCAGCACGTGAGCAAGAACCCTCGGCGGGCGTACGTCAACTTCCGGGACCTGGACATCGGGCAGAACGACGGCACGCCGAAGAGCGGCGAGGTGTGGGGCGAGCGCTACTTCGTGGGCAACTACTGGCGGCTGGCGGCGGTGAAGGCGGCCGTGGATCCCACCGACTACTTCAGCAGCGAGCAGAGCATCCCGCCGTTGCGCTGACCATGCGAGAGATGCCCTGCCTGCCTACTGGTCATGGCGGGCTACTGCTGCCTGCCTACTGGTCGAGATCAGTTTACTTTCCTTCTCCCAATAAATAAACAGTGGAGTACCATCGAGTGGTTGTATTTTTGTTATCTTTCCTCATCGGGGGCTGCTAGTTTCCTGCATGTGGTGCATGTCAACGTGTGTTTTGTTTGCGAACCAACCAATGGTTGAGATGGTTAGGTGAACAGTGGTATCTCCAACCTATCGGGGTTCAAATCCTGGTGCTCGCATTATTTCTGGATTTATTTCAGGATTTCCGGCGATGCGCTTTCATTGGGAGAAGACGTTCGCGTTGACGACGAGGCGCCTACAATGGCTTCGTAAATCTCAAGATGATATGCCGGCTCAGTCTCTCGCAGGTGCTCATAGGGGTAGGGTATGCGTGTGTGCGTTCATAGGGGTGAGTGTATGCGCGTGTATATGAGCGCTTGAGTCTGTACTGATGTTCAAAAAACGTGTGTTTTGTTTGAAGATAGGCAACATATGTGGGATCACTTTAAAAAATAAAAAACATACATCTTTATTCATTTGCAATAACAAGTACATCGTTTATGAGGAGGTACAATTTCACTCAAAGGCTCCTCAAACCAGTTCAAAGCTGACGTAAATCTAGCTAACTTAGCAAGTTCATGGGCAAACTTATTTGTTTCCCTATTACAATGCTCGAATCTAGTAATGGGAAATCACAAGGCAGAAAATAACAATCGTCAAACATTGCCGCTGTACTCGCCTACCGTTCTTCATCATTCATGGTTTCAATGACCTCTAAATTATCCGAGTTAATAACTAGATGGTTTCATCTCACCCTCCGAGCAAGTGAAAGACCATACTGAGTGCCAAAGCTTAAGCCGTTAGGACATCCGTACACCAATCAATTCTTCAGTTAGGACATCCGTCGAAAGTGAAACAAATAAAGCAATAAAAAATGTTAGAAAGAGGACTAATAAAAGGAAACGCAAAATAGAGGTGAGCCGTCGAAAGTGAAATAAATAGACCACTAAAAAAGGCAAAATTTGAACAACAAAATATTAGAAGGAAAAACTAATAATAAAATAAAATAGAAAATAGAGGCGAGCCGCCGGAAGCAAAAAATAGAGCACTAAAAAAGCAAATATTAGAAAAAAGGCTAATCTAAAGAAAAGGAAAAATAGAGGTGAGCCGCTGGAAGCGAAAAAATAGAGCACTTAAAAAAGCTAAATATTAGAAAAAAATGAAGAAAAAAGGCTAATCAAAAGAAAAGGCAAAATAGAGGTGAGCCGCCAGAAGCAAAAAAAAATAGAGAAATAAAAAAGCAAAAGATTTGAAAAAGAAGAAAGAACTAATAATAAAATAAAAGACAATATGGAGGTGAGCCGCCAAAGGAGAAAAAAAAGGGCACTGAAAAAACAAAATATTAGAAAAAATTGGAAAATAGACTAATAAAATAGAAGAAAATAATAATAAAAAGAAAATGCAAAATGCAAAATAGCGGTGAGCCGTCGAAAGGAAAAAAAGGTAGAGAAATAAAAATCAAAATATTAGGGGAGAAAGGACTAATAAATGAAAAGGCAAACAAAAATTAGAAGAAAGGAGAGAAAAAGACT